TCTAGAAGGAACTCCAATGCCAGAAATCCACTCTGGGAGTTTCCTCAGCCTGGGAAGACTGAGGCTTATAACAGAAGAAAGGACTGGAAGTCATCCCACATCCAGACAAACTCTGTCACCCACCGGCACACCGCCCACTTGCTCTTCTAAGGGCCCTCACGTCTCCCCTAGAAATCACTTGCCCTCTTCTAAAAGGTCTGCATCCCTCCTCTTTCCCCAGTAAGATGGTGTTTAACAAAGTGTTAGTCAACTCTTTGTGACCCCATGGACTGTAACCTGTCAGGCTCCTGTGTCCATGGAATTCTCCAGACAAGAATACTACTGGAGTGGGTAGCCATGCCCTTCTCCAGGGGCTCTTCCTGACCCAGGAACTGAACTTGGGTCTACTACATTGCAGGCAGATTCTTTACTGTCCGAGCTACCAGGGAAGCCCAGTGAGATGGTGTTTAACCTTAATTCTAAACCACCACAAGGAGTCACTCGTTTGCCCCCACGGGTCTCCCATGCACACATGATGGTTACACATTAATAAACTTCTGCTTGTTTTTCTCTGTTAATCTGTCTTTTCTTATGGAGTCTCAGCCAAGAGCTCAGAAAGATGGAGGGAAAGTTGCTGTGCCCCACTTCAGTCCCAGCCTTCTCGAGGCCTGTCCTGGTAAGGGGTGATGGAATTCATTCCACTTCCTTGCACACAGATTCCCAGCAGAGATGGACACGTGCTGGACCGAAGCGCTTTTCAATAAATTTCCTCACAAGGGCACCATCCACTTTAGCAGAAGGAGAATCACTGCACATTTCACCAGGATTTTCATGAGGGAACTGGAGGTTGGGGGCATCATTCTTTCAATGTGTTTGGCACTGTTTTAGTGCCCTATTCCCCATGTTAAAAAGCCCAAATCGCGTTTCAAAGTCTCAAAACAATAGCAATCATTTCCTTTGCTCACTGGATGGAGTCCCTGTGTGACTGCAGCTGGGCAGTGGCCGGTCTGGAATCAACCGGAAGCTTCTCCGCCCACCTCCGTACACGGGCTGGGGCTCCCTGGACACTTCTCTCTTGTCCTCTCTGGGAACCACCCCCCACCACGCACACGCACACACGTGCTGACCTCAGGTGGATGGTTTACTGGGCAGCTGAGGCTCCAGAAGAGAGTGTCCCAAGAGAAACTGCCACAAGAGGCACGACCTTTCGCACCCCAGCCTGAGACGTTGCACAGCATCACTTCAGCTGTGTATTCCCCACGGCAGCCGCAGGACTCCTCCTGGTCAAGGGGAGGGAACAGAGAACCCATCTGGTGACAGGAAGACTGTCACAGCGCTGGTGGGGTAACCAAGAGGGAGCTAAGTCACTCCTGTTGAGTCCAACTCTGCAACCCTGTGGACTGTAGCCCGCCAGCCTCCTCTGTCCATGGGATTCTCCAGGCAATATTGGAGTGGGTTGCCATGCCCTCCTCCAGGGCATCTTCCCAACCCAGGGACTGAATCCATGTATCTGATGTCTCATGCATTGGCAGGCAGGTTCTTTACCACTAGCTCTACCTGGAAAGCCTGGACATAACTAAAGACCACCTAAAAGGCTGGCCCTCCTGCCACCAACTCCACTAAACCACCTTAACTGGCCTGATTCCACAGAGCCTCCTTTCTGCAGTCACGTCGAGACCCTCAGCTGCCTGTGGGTAGTTCCTTCTCGAGTGGCACAAACCCCCCTCACAGGATGGACTGTTTCAAGGGAGAGATCGCTGACCTTTTGAAAAGGGACCAGAACGTCTAGTCAGCTCCTAGTTATTCTGATAAAGACAAAATCAATGCCACTAAGACAAAGCCAGTCACCACCAGAGTTTCAAACTAGGAAACGTGGAGGCCTTATTTCCTCTCACCCACTGTAGTCTCCAAAGGAGAAGACAATGCAAAGATAGTCAGCTAGCAGTGGGAGAGGGTCTCCTATGTCAGTGAAACCCAAGAGCACCTGGCTGTCAGCTTTGTCCGTCCCTCTGATGAGTAAGAGCAGAGAAAAGAGGATGGAAGCAGCCCAGGGTGGGGCGCCACCCTGCGGGCTGTTCTAGGCCTCTCTGTCCTCCCCTCTGAAGGCGCAGGGCTGGTTTCATGTTGCTTTGCCCACCTAGCAGACAGGATAAGCGTCTGAGACCTCGTCTTCCTCCTCTGAACGCCTCTCATTCAGTATTAATCAAGCTTTCCTGGAATCTGAGATTGGAGTGAAAGACTGAAGTAATGAGTATTCCTCAGAACAACGTCACAGAGAAAAATCAAATGGTTGATGCAGGGCACCCAAGCTGGTGCTCTGTGAAAACCTGCAGGGATCAGTTAGGTTGGTAGGAGGGGAGTTCAGGATGTGGGGGACACATGTATACCTATGGCCGATTCATGTTGATGTATGGCAAAAAAGTCACGATATTGTAAAGTAATTATCCTCCAATTAAAATAAATAAATAAACTTTAAAAAATTGAACAAACTCCCAGGACAGCTCAACCATTCAGGAAGAAAGAGAAGCTGATATATTTTGCACATAGTGGTAGGAGGAAAGGGAAGGAATTCAACGATGACAGAGAGTGTGGAACTACATTATGCAAGACCCAATTATTGTCAATTCTGTCTTCATTTATATTAAAGTTACTCTGTGCATTTGTTTGTTTTGCTTTGTTTTAGCAAGAAATGTTGAAGGAAATTTTAGGAAGCTATTTTTATGCACACTTTTGAGAATGCAAAGCACAAGGCCTACAAACAGCTTTGTTAGGATAACATAGAATTGTGCATATATACATACCAGTTACCATGAACTATATAAAAATCTTATACTTCTGTACTTTATCATCACTAAATTGAAATTCTGTCTAACTGTGACTAAGATGAAGAAAGATTTATCCTATAATCCTCAAAATTTTGTCCTACTAGCTTTTAGGACTGGTACTTGCAACTGTGATGTTACAAACATCTGTTTTTGGAAATTGCATTTGTTAAAGTAGGCTTCCCAGGTGACGCTAGTGGTAAAGAACCTACCAGCCAATGCAGGAGACACGAGAGGTGTGGGTTCAATCCCTGGGTTGGGAAGATCTCTTAGAGGAAGGCATGACAACCCATTCCAGTATTCTTGCCTGGAGAATCCCCAAAGACAGAGGGGCCTGGCAGGCTACAGTCCATGGGGTCACAAAGAGTTAGACAGCTGAAGCAATTTAGCATGCACAAGCACATTTGTTAGTCTTGTGAGAAACTGTTCAAGGAGAGTTGTTAAGATTGATTTTATTCACCAACCTTGGACAACTTGTCACTGATTTTTGACCTTGCAATCTAGTTAGCTGGTATAAAAAAAGGAAAAAAACCACTATGCATACTTTCTGGAAATTACAAGCATTGCAAAAACCATTCTTACTTATAAAAACAGTATTATACAAAATAACTTTAACAGACCAACTTTACAACATAATGTAGAATCCTGATTTGCCACCCCATGGCATGGACTGTTTTAGCAGGTGAGACTTGGGATCCCCTGACATTTTGATTTTCAATCATTCCGCCTGGAAGATGTCAAACTCTAAATAAGAAGCACCTGTGAAGGATAGTTAGGGGGTCAACCTCAAAAGAAAAACGTTGGTGAAAATCTCAGAAACATGACAAATGAAAAGAGATATTATAGGGAATTAAGCTGTGAAATATGTCACATCTATTATTTTTTGTGACAGTGTAAAGTTTACTTTGATATTTAAAATGAAAATGAAGGAAAACCATAAATGTCTCATGAAGATTCCTAGTGCCACCTTCAGAAGCCACTCCCCACTTCTGACCCTGCGCATGGCAGTCACAGTGAAGTTCAGCATGCAGGTGGCAGGGATATTTTATGAGAGTTGATCCAGGGGCTTCACAAATTGACAGAAAGAAAAAGGGTACTCAGACCAGTGTCCTAGCTTACAAGAGCCTTGGGATGTAACAGACAGACATAGTATGAGGTCTTTGATAAGATCCTGACTAGGAAAAAAAGCAATATAAAAAACCTTGCGGGTCAGTTGAAGTAAAAAAAAAAAACATAGCCGGTATATTAGGAAACATTTCATTCATTAGGAGTGAATTAGCTACTATGTTATGCAGGATAATATGGTGAAGTGTTTTGGTGTGGAATTTCATATAGTCTACAAATTTAAATGGTTTAGTGGGGAAATATCTACATGAAGTACATGCAGCAAGATAAACAGTTCACAGATACAGATGGTGAGTATATAAGTATTGATTACACTCTTTTTTTTCTACTTTTCTTTGTATCTGAAAGTTTTCAAAACAGAATTGTTTTCTAAATACCTGAATGTCATTCCTATCCCTCAGTTTTTAAAATTCTGAAAAATAAGGAGAAAGGCATGTTGAAGTTGGCCTAAGAAGATGGGACCTGTCATTCAAAAATGAGCTGGCGAATTCAGTCGAGTGTTCTCCCTCAGATGTTAAGGCCTCATCCTCAGGACAAAACAAAAGGAGAAATCTGGACTCACCCTTCCTTTCCTGGGCAGGCCAGGGCGCGGGCTACAGTATTCTCCGTGTGGGAGGGAGTCCGGAAGGCCCAGCAACAGTTGCCCTAGGAGCTGCCAGGTCCAAAAGGGCAGAGAAGTGCTGGGCTCTCTGCTGGCTTCACTAGGAGGGCCGGTCGGAGTCAGCCTCCGGGCATGATGTAGCATCGCCCCGAGTAACGCTGTCAGCAGACAGTAATGCCTAACGTTTATCAAGCTTCCACTGAACGGCCTGATAGAGAGACAGTCAAGATGACGTGTTGATATTAACAACAGATAAGGCCTGTAGTCATGATGGAGAGTCTGCTCTTCAGCCGAGTGTCCAACAGAAATGAAGTCTTCCCCAGCGTCCACAAGGACAGACCCTCAAGTCAAGCACAACTGGGAGCTGTGGAGAGCTCCGTAGGCTGGGACACCCCTCTGTCCATGTGCCCCCCTCTCCCTGACTCCGGCCTGAAGCGTATCCATCCTCCGGGGTCCATGAAAACCTCACTCACCGCTGCTGGCGGAGGCGGCCTGCACCCGCCCTCCTTCTGATCCTCACCCTTCAGCATCACCTGTAACCCGTTCACCTGCTCCACGTGGTCTGGGAAAAGCATGTTCACATTTCCATTCATTATCTTTGTTTTTTTTTTTTTTTTCAGAATAGTAACAGCTATTTTTAATCTCAAAGTGACAAGTAATCACTGTGAAAAAAAAAAATTAGACAATGCAGAAAGAGGTAAAGAAAGAAGAAGAAAAAAAAAAAAATCCCAAATCTCCCCACTGGAGAACACGAACCACCATTAACACGGTCATATTTTATTCATTATTTCTTCATAGCTCTACCAACGTTTCAACTTACGCTTCCTGCCCACGCCTGCCCCGAGTGGCAGGAAACACTGCGAACTTCCTCTGTGCCCCCGTGCCCAGGAGCAGAAGGAATGAACACACTCCGAGGGGCAAGCGTGTCACCCGCCAGCCTCCCGACCCAAGCCAGATGAGCAGACGACCTCCGTCCCGGCGCGCGGCGGTGGGCGGCGGGGGATTCAGAGAAAATGACTTCTGCTGTTTTAAACTCAGGTTCACTGAGCTGCCTTTTAATCTATAGCGATGGGATGAAGGTGAACTTTTTGTTTCTCTATACAACACTGCCCCCTCGTGGTGCCCTGCCCCCCTTGCAGAGCCTCCCAACTCCCCGCCGGGGTCCAGAAAGGGACATGGAAACACCGTGTCAGCAAATCACTACAGAATCTGGATTGATTTGTGAGCATTTGTTTCCAGTTGAGCCTTTTTAAGTGAAGCCTTTATTTCTCTTGCTTCTCCCTTCCAGGAAAACCGTGCGTGCTAAGTCGTGTCGGACTCTGCTACTCTTTGGACGGTAGCCCGCCAGGCTCCTCTGTCCATGGGATTCTCCAGGCAAGAAGACTGCAGTGGGTGGCCATGCTCTCCTCCAGGGGATCTCCCCGACCCAGGGATCTAACCCGGGTCTCCTCTATTGCAGGCGGATTCTTTACCATTTGAGCCACCAGGGGAAACCGTGTCCTGCCATAAAAACATCCTGTCCTTTTGGTTCTAAGCTTTTATCACAAGCTGCACCGGGAAAAGGCGAAGACCCTCGAGAAGTGATCTAAAAAGGAAAAGCAGACCTTCCGCAGGCTTCAGGGAAGGGCCCCTTCCTGCTCCCAGGCAGCTGTGGAGAGCAACCCCCCGAGGAGCCTGCGAAGGAGGCTCTGTTCATCATGCCTGGAGTCTCAATCCTACGGAAACAGGGTCCTGAGAACACTGACATCCTGACGCCTGTACCAACAGCCAAAACTCCTGTCGTGTCCAAAGTGGGGCGGTTTTGTTCTGAAAGAGGTGGCGGATTTTGACATTCCTCCCAGGCAGGCTCTTCCTTTCTTCGGGGAAGGCCCCCGGGATGGGCCGCGAGACTGTTCTGGACCGAGTCCCAGGCTCCGGAATTTCGGAAAGGCTGGCAGGGCCACAGGTAGGGTTGCAGCCTTGAGTGCTTTTTGTTCCATTCACGAAACAGAAACCATCTCTTCCTAAATAGGGGTGGGGGTGGTGTGTGCCTAAAACCGTTGCTCCTTTCTGTGACTCAGGAGGGTTTTCTTGAAGAGGTGTTAATAAGAGCCCAAAGCTGGGATGATCCTCTTCACCAGAAACTCTGCCAACTCAAGGCCCGCGCGTCAGGGTGTATAACTCAGTGAGAGCAGGGGTTTTGTCTGTCTCGTTCACGGATGTATAGCCCAGAGCCAGGAAGCCTATCAGGGCACAGAAGGCATTTCTGTGTTTGTTAAATGAATACGTTGGGGAAAGTGCTCCCCGTTTACCGCATACAACACAGTTCTGTCCCGAACAGAGCAGCGCCTGGCCACAGCAGCTGATCAGTCCGGCAGCTGGACGAGAAGGAGAAAGGGGAGGGATACTGAAAATCATATTCCTGGCCATATGTGATGTGCAGAAGACAACTTGAAGAAGGGAGTGCCCCCATGTGGACACGAGCTCTGAATAGTGATTATTTGCACATCAGTATAAACGTGACCAATAAACTGTGGAAAATTCTGAAAGAGATGGGAATACCAGACCACCTGACCTGCCTCTTGAGAAACCTGTATGCAGGTCAGGAAGCAACAGTTAGAACTGGACATAGAACAACAGACTGGGTCCAAATAGGAAAAGGAGTACATCAAGGCTGTATATTGTCACCTTGCTTAATTAACTTATACGCAGAGTACATCATGAGAAACACTGGGCTGGAGGAAGCACAAGCTGGAGATTGCTGGGAGAAATTTCAGTAACCTCAGATACACAGATGACACCACCATTATGGCAGAAAGTGAAGAAGAACTAAAGAGCCTCTTGATGAAAGTGAAAGAAAAGAGTGAAAAAGTTGGCTTAAAGCTCAACATTCAGAAAACTAAGATTATGGCATCTGGTCCCATCACTTCATGGCAAATAGATGGGGAAACAGTGGCTGATTTTATTTGGGGGGCTCCAAAATCACTGCAGATGGTGATTGCAGCCACAAAATTAAAAGGCGCTTGCTCCTTAGAAGGCAAGTTATGACCAACCTTAGATAGCACATAAAAAGCAGAGACATTACTTTGTCAACAAAGGTCCGTCTAGTCAAAGCTATGGTTTTACCAGTAGTCATGTATGGATGTGAGAGTTGGACTGTGAAGAAAGCTGAGTGCCGAAAAATTGATGCTTTTGGACTGCATTGTTAGAGAAGACTCTTGAGAGTCCCTTGGACTGCAAGGAGATCCAACCAGTCCATCCTAAAGGCGATCAGTCCTGGGTGTTCATTGGAAGGACTGATGCTGAAGCTGAAACTCCAATACTTTGACCACCTGATGTGAAGAGCTGACTCATCTGAAAAGACCCTGATGCTGGGAAAGATTGAGGGCAGGAGGAGAAAGGCATGGCAGAGGATGAGATGGTTGGATGGCATCACCAACTCAATGGACATGGGTTTGGGTGAACTCCGGGAGTTGGTGATGGACAGGCAGGTGCTGCGGTTCATGGGGCCGCAGAGTTGGACACAACTGAGCAACTGAACTGAACTGAACTGATAAATGTGACCTCCACTGGCTCCCAAGCTGGTGTGACCTTCAGTATAAGTAACACAGCATCATCCCTCCTGTCTGCAAGCAGCACCTCCCTGTTCTACCTTCCCTGATTCTTGCATTCAAGGGCCTTGGAGGGCAAGTCCCCTTTCCCGAAGAAAAATGCTGCATCTTTAATTTATAACTTCTAGTCCTGGAGCACCTCCTCTGGCAACTTCCTTTCCCCCTCTGATTAATGAAGGTGGAAATCTAAGAATGAAGCACTGACCCTCTTTACACATTTACCCATTCTTCTTTCAATTCTTCTCTCTTCTTGGCAGTCATTCTGCTTCTCACAAAGCACATAATTTGTAAGATTTAAGTTATTGTTCAGTATGGAGATTCCTTTAAAAACTAAGAATAAAACTACCATATGATCTAACAATCCCACAACTGGGCATATACCCCAAGGAAACCATAATTGAAAAAGACAGATGTGCCCCCAATGTTCATTGCAGCACTATTTACAATAGCTAGGACATGGAAGCAGCCTAGATATCCATCAACAGATGAATGGATAAAGTTGTGGTATGTATATACAATGGAATATTACTCAGCCATGAAAAAGGAACACATTTAAGTCAGTTCTAATGAGGTGGATGAAATTAGAGCCTGTTATACAGAATGAAGTCAGTCAGAAAAACAAATATCCCATATATTTTTTTAACACATATACATGGAATCTGGAAAGATGGTACTAATTAACCTATTTGCAGGGCAGCAGTGGAGATGCAGACATAGAAAACAGTGAGGGAAGAAGAGGGTGGAATTAATCGAGAGAGTAGCATAGAAACATATACTTACCATACACAAAACAGATAACTGGTGGGAATGTTCTGTATGATGCAGGGAGTTCAAACCCAGTGCTCTGTGGGCTGGAAGGTGGGAGGGAGATTCAAGAGGGAGGGAACATATGTATACCTATGGCTGATTCATGTTGATGTATGGTAGAAACAAACACAACATTGTAAAGCAATTATCTTCCAATTAAAACTAAATAAAAATTTTTAAAGAACCCTGAAAAATTTGTTATTGTTAACATCCTTCCTGACACCTTCTGTCACTCTTTTGTTTTTCTCACCCAAGATGACAATTCACTTCCCTCAGTATTTTAAATCTCACTTCGTCTATCATAACATTCTCCTCACTAGTCCTTCTGTCTCTTAAGATGGACACTGGTCCATCTTAAATGCTACTGCCTAAATCTTCTACATTTCTCCAATCATACTTCCTCCTGCCTGGGAAGGACCCCTTCAGAGAATTAAGAAATGTTGCAATGGATCTTTGAATGTCAAAATGCGACAAATTTCAGATCCTGTACATTTCAGAATTTCTCTTTCTCCTGCACTAAATTTTGAGCAGAGGATTTATTCTGAATTTTTAGAATTAGTGCATAGTTTTTCTCATTTATCAAGATATTATCCATCATGTGTTACTCTTGGAAAAAAAAGAACCATATCTTCAATATGCTTACCTTCTTGATTAAAGTGCTTAACTGCACTTGATCAAACACAACAGTATTAAACAGTATTAAGTCTACAATCTTATATGTTTATCATAAGTTTAATCTGTGAGAGATTCTTCAGAGATGAAGCTCCCTAAATAGAAGAAGCTATTGGTTGGCAAGGAGTAAGTCCTAAAACAAAGGGGACCAATTATGGTACCTTTCTGCTGAGGGATCCTAGACCAGTCAGAGCCCTTTCTAGAAGTTTATGAACACAAGTCCAGAGATAACCCTTATTTTCTTTGAGGTGTGTCCCCTCAATTGAAGCTCTAACCCTCAAGGTGACTGTACATGGAGACAGGGTCTTTATGGCAGTAATTAAGGTTAAATGGGGTCATAAGATCTGGGCCTTAATCCAATATGACCGGTGCACCTTATGAGAGGAAGAGACTCCAGAGCTCTCTCTCTCCCCACACCACGTGGAAGGGCCACAGGAGAACATAGCAGGTGACCATCCACA